TTATTACTTTATTCTTGTATTATTATTACTTTATTCTCGTAATATTATGACTTTATTCTTGTAATATTATGACTTTATTCTCGCAATATTATGACTTTTTTCTCGTAATATTACAACTTTATTCTCGTAGACCTAATATTATGACTTTATTCTCGTAATATTACGACTTTTTTTTCGTAATGTTATGACTTTATTATCAAAGACCTAATATTATGACTTCATTCTCGTAATTTCCAAAAAATCATCATCATCAACATTATAAGGACTGACTATTAAAGTTAAAACCACATACATAAAGGTGGACTTCATGACAGCTCCCCAAAAGTGAAGCCAAATCATCTCTCTCGCCCCCTGGTGGCTGGTTGCAGTATAGGTCATAAAGCCCGCTGACTCCATGTTAGCAGATGAGAAACACCGAAGTACACGTAAAATATTCTTTTCCCAAAATAGTTGTCCAACACCGCTCGCTGCTGCTCCATAAGCTCATTGCTTTGAACTGAAACTCAGATGTGTGTATTTGTCATATTTACCATGTTAATGTGTTTTTCACAAAAATAAAGTGGCGGCCTAATTAGGTAAAACTTAGGTAAACAGCCACAGAGAAATATTATTGATATCAAATTACTGACATTGATTGAAGCAACATATTTGTCGGCCGAGCCCTTGGCCTCCACTGCTGCGAATGCTTGTTGGTTCACAATCAGACAGCAAAACCTGTTCACGACACGTATAATCAACAGAGACAACAGTGGCTGAAGCAAAAGATCTTTTTTAATTCAAAGTGAATCTTGACATAGTACACCATTAATTCATAATTTGACACTCACCAATAAGAGTCACCAAGAAGGAACCCGCTTTTTGTGACAAAGTACATAAGGCTTGGTCACATTGAAACTCACTGAGAACTAGAGGGGGGAAAAGAAAACGACCGCAAACTGGTAAGACACACATTATTACATCCAAACAATTATCATTTTCCCAGTCCTCATATTGTTGTATATTGCACAGTGCAGTTGCTACATGTCAAACTAGTGTAGCATTTAAGAAAAAATAAAATCAAAAATAAAATCATAAAGCCACACAGATCTACACATATTCAGAACAGTAACAGTTTCAATTTAGCAATCATGTCTACATATTTGTGTCTAAATACAATAAATGTCAACCCGATAATTAGCTGTGGTACAAAATCTACCTAAAACGTGTCCCAGTACCCAAATGAGATGTTCAGACCCATGTTTGTAGAATTGGTAGTTTTGTCCGGGAGGTCCCAGTAAAAGCAGGCCCACAGGGACCACAGCCTTATTCTGAGAGCGGTCTACCGCCTAATCCAAATGTTTTAGGAGTATTTAACAGTCCTCAGGCCTGCTTTGTTACTTAAGGCTGAGCTTTGGATCTGTGACTGTGTGACCCTTTGGTGACTGTGATGATGCAACCGCCAGCGTAAGGCTGCAGGGAGGTGGGATTATCTATCCTAAGCAATCAGCCCAAAGCGGTGGGGGATTACGGACATCACTGAGGTGGGACATGTTTTCATCTCATCACAGGTGCTGAGCCGACAGAAAGCACAGAGACATGGGAATCGACGAGAGAGGCTGCACACCACAGGGTGGAAAAAACAGAACATATTCCTTGAAGTAAAGTACAGATTACTGTGCCGTGACACACACCTATCAGTTATAATTCTAGGCTGCACTCCAGGCTGAACAGTGCATCCTCTCGTTTGTCTAAGGATCGTCAACACAGTAGCATATCAGACGAGTACACAAAATACACCCATTACAAGCAACATAGCAAAACCATTACAATGTAATACATTAAGTAGATGCAGCGTATTACTTCCACCATGACAAAAACATATTTGATCAGTTTCTTGTTATAATGAGAAACTATTTCTCGTTTTATAATGACACTTTTCCTTGTTATTATTGGATACCAAATTCAGTTTTTACAAGAAATGTTTCTCAGAACACGAAACTAAGCAGGTTTTTTTTTTTTTTGGTCACAGTGGCAGCACTATGCCGCCGTAGATGAGGATGGGACAGCTTTGGACCTAAACTTTGAGTATGACTGATGGATAAAGCATTTTGAACGAACCCCTGACTGAAAAACTTGCTGATATCTACCAATGGTAATAGCTGCATACAAGAACTATCAACATCCCAATCACGAAATGAAAGAAAACGTGTATCCATCAGAAATGCAACAAATAACTCATTTGCAAACCAAAAACAGTCTCGAGTTCCACAAATACATTCACGGTGTGAGAATAAAGCTTTGCATTTGTGTGTATTCAGGCCCTATGTGTTTGAGTACTGCACGGTGTTCTTGGTGAGCGCAATAAAACATTCCCTGACTTGTACTTTCTTAGGATTCTGTAAAAAAGATTGTTTTCAGACCTCGTCTTAGTCTAACAAACAAACAACTTTGGGGTTTCGTAATGTAATTAGGAGCTGATCCCCTTAGGATTCTATTCTACAAATTTTTCTGACTGCTGTGATATCAATGCAAGACGTCATCTGTCAGCCACTTGTTTAAAGAAAGGCACTAGTTGTACAGTACGAAGAGTTGCGAATACAGTCCAATAACGGAAATAAAAGCCATGTCATCAGAAGAAAACTTAAAAACGATAATACATCAACGACACACTGGTTACAGAATCCAAGAGTGAACCCAGCCTACGTTTGAAATACTGATGCTAAATGCACACGCACAAAAAAAACACACACACACACACACACACACACACACACACAAAGCAACAGAATAATAAAAAAGAAAACTCATAACTTCCATTACAGCAGTTTACAATCACTTCAAAACAACAAAGCCAATATACAGAGGCACTAGCATATAGGAATAGCATTCAATATACTTTAAAATAAAACTCACTTCTATTGTATCTATGTATCTAGTCGTTAGAACTACAATACAAAAGAAAGAATGCAGGCTAGAATGAGATTAATCCTCTAAATTCACAGCTACGAAGTGGCAGATAATCAGTACATAGCAGCTTATTATCTATACATTCCAAATACAATTTGCCAAACATAGCTCAGAAAAATAAAACCTCAACCTCATTTTTAAAATAGAGATCTCACAATATATTCCAATGTTGATAACTGCAACAGTATGCTGGAGGTGAAAGGAGAAATAGTATCGACCATGCTTCAGAAATGATTAATGAACAGTCTTTGGTGCTGATTGGAGTAAAATACCAGCTGATAGGACAGGTAAAGACAAGGCTCTACTACACACTGGAAATCAAACAAAAACAAAAAAACAAAAAATCAAGGCTATGCATCCACCCTGAAGGAATGTATCAAAACTGAGAAACAGGCTTCAATACATGGACAAAAAGTTTATCTCACACGAATATCTGAAAGAATTACTGATACACCTCTAACACTCATAGCCCCGCAATGATACTGTAAATTGATAGGTTATTTCAAACACTGAGAAGCATTTAGAAGTTAAACATAAAACAAAACTTTTAGTCTATGCCACTCCCAAAAACTAAAACAGAAAATGCATTAATGCAAGTCTAGCCTGAATGCAAAATAATAGAAACACAGCAACCCAGAGGCTTTCTAGATTGTATTGCAGTTACAGTAAACAGTGACAATACTGTTATGAATTAAGTACTATAGTGAATAGAAATCGATTATCAAAATATCAAATCACTCTTTATATACATAAAAAGCTCATTCAGTCAAAGCCCTAAATGTGCAGCCTCTAGCTAAAGTAAATCCATACTCTGAGTTAGAAAGCAAACTGAAGTCCAACATTTGCCAATATTAACACATAACCACAAGCATTATCCTCATATCTATCCAATAAGCCCATTGTGTTCAGAGTCTAGATGTTAAGTGCTGCAAGCCCATTTAAATGTACAATCTATAAGCTCCTGAAGTAACGTCATAGACTCTGGTTTTAAGGCACTGAGAGACGGCAAGTGTAAAGTCCGCCTCAAACAAAGACAGGAGCGTTCGATCCTGGTTAATACAGACTGGGATGGCTTAACAAACAGATCTGACCGGCTAGCACATGCTACAAGGCAACAAAGATAAAGGGAAGGGGAGGCTGAGCGCCCTGACAGCCCTGACAGCAACAACAAATGATTTCCAGCCTCTAATTAGATCATATTCTCTGAACACTACTCAAACAACAAATGACAGGAGGTAATGTGCAAAGGACACATTCTTAATTAAAATTTCCTTATCGTCATCAT